TGAGCTCCTATCTCCAAAGCAAAATTAAAAAACAAAAGCCTGCAGGAGTGTGTAGCCTATGAGTGAGGCCCTGGGTCCAACACACACACACCACACACACACACACACACCACACACACACACACACACATCCACACATGCATACACACCACACACACCACACACACACACACATGCACACACACACACACACACCACACACACACACACACACCACACACACACCACACACCACACACCACACACACACACCACACACACACACACACACATCCACACATGCACACACACACACACACACCACACACACACACACACACACACATCCACACATGCACACACACAATCCAGGGAAATACAAAGGACCCACCCTGAGGGCCAACGTTCTCACGGCTGTTCTGGAGAGAGTCCAGGACCAGGATTGTCTCTCAAAGCCTCAGGTGCCATAGGTTCCAGAACTCTCTTCTCCCGGTGCCAAGAGGTCGTAGAAGCACTCTTCCCCACTGACTCAGGTGGAGGAACAAAGCCGACATGCAAAAGAGGCAGAACCCCCTAGTGGTTCTACGAGGAATATTACACTAGACCGAGTTATAATCCAGCCTAGACTCAATTAAAATTATTCTCCTGGGGCTGGGAAGGTGGCTCAGTGGTAGAGTGCTGGCCTTGCATGCACAAGGCCCTGGGTTCAATTCCTCAGCAGCACATAAGCAGAAAAAGCCAGAAGTGGCATTATGGCTCAGGTGGTAGAGCGCTCGCCTTGAGCTGAAGAGCTGAGGGACAGCGCCCAGGCCCAGAGTTCAAGCCCCAGGACTGACAAAAAAAAATTGTTCTCCCACCAGTCAGAGGAAAGCCGTAGAAGCCCTCGGCAGTTAATGGCTAGCCAAGGGCTTTTCATGCACCTCCTGGGACTGGCTTGAACAGCCTGAGAAGACAGCCGTGTGCCTGCTTGCACAAACAGATCCAACGCTGGGTCCACCTTAGATTCAGTTTCTTTACCTCTTTGGTTGTTTTAATTTAATTTTTTTCCTGAACTTGCAAAGGTTGCCCGGGGGTTTACAATGCAACGTGTCCGTCTAATAATTCCCACCTCCACAGCCTCGTTGTATGATTACATTAGAGACTTCTTTCTCTTGATGTCCCCTCAGAAATGTGTGAATATTTCTCCTCGCTGATGTTGGGAACTGGACTAGCGCAATGAAAGGAACAGAGAGGGGCAGGGGGTACACAGCCTGGGACCCGCACACAGGAGTCACAGCTTTCACGAGGAGATGGACAGACACATCCATCCGGGCTGCAGGCCGTGGTCAGGGGTTTAACCTTCATCCTGATTTCCTGCATGTGCAAGTGGCAGACAAAACACACATGAAGGCACAAGCAGCTATCTACCCCTCCAGAGCTGTTCCTGTTTTTACAAAGACTTCGACATCGGCCCCTCTCCACATGGATCTGCCGCCCTAGTGATGCTGTGGGGCTTGTGCTCATTAGTGTCCTGGCTGCACACAAACCAGGGCTGAGCCATGCTTGCAAGAACGAGTTGCAGGCTGGGATAGAGGCTTGGCTTTCTTGTCCCCATTCAGCCTCCATGCCCTGGTAAGACTATATTATTTTCTTAGCTCAAATTGCTGTTTCCAAGTCATTATTTCTCTATGACGAGAAAACAATATTAGGTCTTATGTAATATCAACCTCAATGAATCTGGAAGTGATCAGGAAATGGGTGGATTTTTTTTTCCTCCTTAAAAAAGAGAGAGGGAGAGAGAAAAATAAATTTGGATTGTTTGCATATGGCTGAGAATATTTATGAACTATTCCCCTTGTTTCCTCCTCACATAATTTACCCGGTGCGTTTGCGTGTGGTATGGAATAAATCTTTATGGGGAGCCGAGGTGCAGAGGGGGAAGAAAGCAGTTAGAAGTCTGGGTATCCACCAAGTGTGGGGAATTGGGGGTCCTGTGTCTCTGGGTGCTGCCAGCCTGGGTTCAGGTGTTGTAGTTTGAAGTGACCCCCATGCAGCCCCTCTGGGGGGGTCTTTGGGAGGGAGGCTTTGTGAGGCGAGCGCTGAAGGAACATGCATCTTCTTTTTTTTTATTTATTTATTTTAACATGCATCTTCTTTTCCCTCTGACGTCCTCGTCTTAGAATAGAAGGTTTGATAGGAACAGTTTCACGACCTCTGTGAACGCCCCCAAGCCTACGGAGATCATTCAGTTGTGTAGATTCTAGACAGAGCCAGGCAGGCCCGCCGAGGGAGTGGGAGAAGAAGAGCTGGAGCGTGTCACGGGAGCTCCTCTTGCTGTTTTAGAACACGTCTGTGTGTCAGCACACGGCCGTAGCGTGTCACGGGAGCTCCTCTTGCTGCTTTAGAACACGTCTGTGTGTCAGCACACGGCCGTAGCGTGTCACGGGAGCTCCTCTTGCTGCTTTAGAACACGTCTGTGTGTCAGCACACGGCCGTGCTGCGATGGCTTCCCTCCGTCTGCACACGCCGATATGGCTTGACAGGTCCCGAGGAAGATCCCGAGGGAGCAGTGGGGATTGGGCCGTTAGGGATAGGGAAACAGAGCTCCGGGCTGTTGACTTTCCCCTCCAGGGTCTTGGCTTTGGAGTTGGGTCTATTCCGAACCTTCTTCTGTTAAGCCTTGGACTTTTCAGGAATATCGTGTCCAAGGGGCAATGCCCAGATAGGAGGCTGACTGGCACAGTTGCTCACACAAGGGCACTGCAGCCACTGACTCCGCTCCTGGCATTGCCGGGCCTTGGTTGCAGACACTTCCTCTCCATCGTCTTAGCTGAGCCTCACACAGACCACGTGTGAGCTGGGGACGTTCAGCTTCATTTTTGACAGACAAACGAAGCTCAGTTGTATTGAAGACATGGTCTCAAGTCCAATTGAGGTTCCAGGCCCAGAGACTGAGGCAGGGCTGAGGTCTGAAGCCAAGGCAGTGAGTACCTTAAAGCTAAAGCTCCTGCAGCATCCTAGTGAATTTACCTCACAAAAAGCCAAACTCAGAACTCAGGTCAGGGCCGGGCCACATGGCCCCATCCCTGCCACCCCACCTCCGCCCCTCTCCATCCTGAAGATCACCAGCTCCGACCTTCGCATTCCTGACCACGAGTCACAGTACGGCAAATGACGTCACTGGACCGGCTCAGAGAGTGCGTGTCACATGCCAGGCTGCAGTTGGGAGCAGGACAACTTTGACAGCTACCGCTGCCAAACCAGCTCCTCCATCTCAAGGGACTATGAGAAAGAGGCCGAGATGGACCCAGGACTAGCTTTCCAGTCCTGGTTCCAGGTCATTCCAGGACCAGTGACTCTGATATGTATGTCCTTGTGCTGTGGCTTGCTGAGATCACCAAAGGGTCATTGGAATGAGGGCTCGCCGTGGCCAGCGTCTTTTCCCTTCAAAGATGTCCTCCTAGCGCTTGGACTGGCCCCATGCTGACAGCAACTCCATTTGTCCCTGTGCGTTTTCCAGTATCATCAGGATTCTTCCTCGGTCTCCATCACTGAAAGTGGTAGAGGGATTGGGAGCCTATTCCACATTGTAAGTGCTTGGGGAAGAAAGGCGTAATGAGTCTTGTCTGGTACCCACCCTCTGCCGGTTACCCTTGAATGGTCTGATAATCCCAGCCCAGTCTAGACAATGGCTAAGGGGGAGCACACGCATTTCCCCAGCCCTTCTCACTCTATTCTCCTAAATTGGAAACACAAAGCAGATGATGAAGCTCAAGTTCAACTGCCACACCAGGGAGAAGGAAGTGTTGAGAAATACACCCCAGCTTCAGCCAGTTTTCAAACATTCCAGTAAGCATTTCACTGATTTGTCTTGGGTGAGTGTCATTCCATTGTCTTGAACAACTATGAAAAAAAAAGGGCCTTCTGTGAGAAGACAAAAGTTCTTTGAGGAGGGCCTACGAGAAGGCACATCTGGGAAATGGTGAACAAGAAGACAAAACCGCTCATCTGCTTTGCCCAAGGCAGCGCCTCCTTATTTCTACTGCCATGAACCTCTCCCAACTCCCATGAGCTCCGTGGCCGGCTCTAAAACAAGAGTCTGGAGACTCAGCCCTGGGAATGGAGCAGTACCCATCCTCTCCTCCATGGCCATGCTCTGAGCTCAGGTGGAAGTTCTCAAGTCACTGCTGTCTCACTGGGAGATGCTTGGGAGAAGGTCTCTGTGGGGCAGTGGCTTCCTCCAGATATTCTCTGGGTACCTCATTCATTCGGCCTGTGTCCAAATGAATTATTGCATGGGTACTTATTGGGACATGACTCCACAAGTCTCCTGCTATATCATTTTCCTTCAGGTGTTCCTTGTCTGGTCTGTGTCTTTGATGGCTTCCATGCAACTGGAGTTGTCCATGGCTAGGGGATCCTGCCGCCGGCTGGGGGCTGGGCCATTGGAACAGCTCTGGGGTGTGGACAGTTTGTCCTGTGTTCAAATGCAGTACGCCTCCATTGTGCCAGCTACATCCCCAAGGGAAGCACCAGGCAGCTGGGAGCCTGTCCCTAGGTCGTGCATCTTGGAGGTTTTGTCCCCTTTGCTTTCCCAGTGGCGGGAGCCATAGTTAATGGTTCTAGACACAACCGCAAAAATCTGGTTGATAGCGCTATCCTAGGAAGCCTCTATGCTTCTTTCTGCGAAACGAGTCTGTACATTTACTGTGGAATAGTAACAAAGTAAGTAGAAGTTGGCTAGTATTCTTGTAACCTTCTGGAGATAAGAAAAACTCTGGAATACATCCTAACTGGTGCATTTCTGTATTTACATACACGTGTAGAACAGAAAAGATGAGCGACGTGGCTACCACTTGGTTAGCGCTTCCCTGTTCTTGCCATTGAATGCACTGTACCACATCTGTCACAGCTGTCCTGCGGTGTGTGGCGGGCTGCCCGAGAGATGGGGGTCCAGACTCGGGGTGAGCTAGAGCACTCTGAAGATAGATCCCTGACAAGACAAGATAATGGACTTAGACCCCCTTCTTTTGCTCTTCCAGCCCTAGAGAGAGGGCTGACCAAGGCCCTGAAGAAACTAGATGACTACCTAAACACGCCCCTGCCCGAGGAGATCGATGCCAGCACGTGTGGGGATGAAGACAAGGGGTCCCGGCGCAAGTTCCTGGATGGAGATGAGCTGACACTGGCTGACTGCAACCTCCTGCCCAAGCTCCATGTGGTCAAGGTAGGGAAGCGCGGCCCAGGGCACTGCCCCGGCCCAGGGCCTCTGGGCTCTGACGTCAGACCACTAAGGTCTAAGGTCAGCTCTGTGGCTTGCTGGGTGTAGAGTCTCCGTGAGCTTTATTTTCACTTATGAGGTAGATAACATCTCTGGCTACTGGGAGAGTCAACGCAAGGTAGTAGTGTAGTGGCTCAGCATGGAATCAGTAGGACCGCCATTGTGGTATGTGGTTCCGTCACTCCAGTGTGGACTGGTCTTCCTGGACTTGTCTCCGGCTGTATCCTTCCGTGGGCATAGATCCATCCCCACCTAGGTATCTTCTCACGTCTCCTCTGTGCACAGGCCTGAGCGGAGCAACAAATTGTCATCCTCCCCTGCCAGTTGGAAAGATGGAGGTCTCAAGGGGGAAAGGGAGGAGCGTCTCCCCTTGAACCATTATTAGGGCAGCTGCACCACAAGTCGTGGCTAGCATCTGAGAGTTCCATGGTTACGACTCTAACGCGGAAATTCCCAGGGCATCTTGAACAGTCTCTGTGCCCACACTGATCTGCTTCCCGCTGTGTCAGTGAAGACTTCTGCGCAGCCTCACAGCGCACAGGCATCTTTCTAGGTGATGAGGAACCCTTTGCCTCAGCGCCCAATCTTACTGTGTTGTGAGGCTCCCATGATCGCAGTATCCTGTCCTGGTTGGATTAAAAGTGTTGCTCCTTGGAGCATCACTGAACGACTCTGCTCTCCTTCATCTGTTGTATCTGCCATTTCCCACATCCTTTTCTAACTCTTTTTTTTTTTTTTTTTTCCGGTCATGGGGCTTGAACTCTGGGCCTGGGCACTGTCCCTCAGCTCTTCAGCTCAAGGATAGTGTTCTACCACTTTGAGCCACAGCTCCACTTCTCATTTTCTGGTGGTTTATTGGAGATAAGAGTCTCAGGGTCTTTCCTTCCTAGGCTAGTTTTGAACCTCGATCCTCAGATCTCAACCTCCTGAGTACCTAGGATTACAGATGTAAGCCACTGGCCCATTTCTGACTTTTAACTGGGTCTTCTGGCCATACTTTCCCCTGCTTTTTACACGTGTCCACGTCTGGTCAGATCAGTCAGATGGAAAGCTCTTAGAGTACAGGGCCTTCTCCAAGCACAATCATGGGGCCCTGATTGCCTTTATTTATTTTTTTTTTTTAATTGTAAAGCTACTATACAGAGGGTTACAGTTACATGAGTGAGGTTATGAGTACACTTCCTCTTGAACATTGTTACCCCCTCCATTGTTTTCCCCCTACCATCCCCTCCCTCCCTCCCTTCCCCGAGGTTCTTTTTTTTTTTTTTTTTTTTGATTGTGATTAAATGATTACATAATTTCAAAGTCACAAGTTCATTCTAACTTCCCTGGAGCAAATTGTCTACCACAGTCTGTAATATATAACAGTGTTCACATGTTATATACCATATTTGTGATCAGCAGCATGAGGATATTTAGTAGTGGCCCTGATTGCCTTTAAATAAATATCCATCCACTGATCATTAGATCACCTCCAGTCTGTCTTTATGACACTCCGTGTTTCTGACCTGCATGGAGAGGAAGCCAATCCAGTCCTTGGGCAGCAGGTAGATACGCCTACTGTTTCCAGCTGAAGTCCGAGCACTGGACATGCGGGCCTCTCTCTAACCACATTTCATACCAGCCCCTGCTGTACTCACCAGCTAGCTGGGCACACACTAGTGTTCCCCACACGAGGGTTAGCATAGGAAATACGGAAGGAACCAAGTGTGTATGGGGTGGAATGGTACAGCGCATTCCAAGCCAGTGCTTCCTGTAGGTCCAGCCAAGTTGAGTCACCTTGAAGTTATTAATTACTTCATATTTTCCCCTCCCAAACATATGATTTACTTTCTCAGTAACATGGGGTAGATGACTCTTCTGCAGCCTACCATTGGAGTGATTGAAAGGACAGTTCAGGCCTCCCGAGTTCTAGTTCTCTATCTGCCCCCACGTGGCAGGGTGAGCGAGGGTTTGTATTTTGATTGTTTGGGGATTTGTTTTCTTCATGCAGAAGTATGGATCCCCTTCCTTCACTCCTCCTCTTCCTTTCTTCCTCCTCTCTTATTCTAATGCGTGGCGATGAGCCACTTAGGAACACTTTGCTGAAGAAGGCAGACTTGTGGACTTCTATATCCTCTTCCCATTGCTTCAGCTCCTCCGAGCTCCAGGTGACTAAGTTCATCTTCTGTCCTCAGAGGAAGTTCAGTGGTGCGTTTGCTTGGCAGAGCGGGAATCAGACCAGGAGATAACCCGATCAGGGACAGAGGCTGGGCCTCACTCCTGTCTCCTTGGATTTCTGCTGATCCAGCTTATCAGATCCAGGGGCCTGGCAAACCTTCGTGGTGCAGGACGAGTGAAGGGAGAGCCAAGTCAGGCCTCCAGTTGGGCCTCCGATGCCAAAACTTAATCTGGGCGGAGGGAGTTAACTGTTTTCATATGAAACAGCAAATTCAGAACATGAGCATGGACGTTCCTACGGACGTGCGAGCTGCCCGTGTGCGCATCCTGACCCTGCTCCTTCCCTCCCGGCTTCCTCTCAGGTCCTTGGGTGCTGAGTAGTCCTGGCTCAATGCCACAGAGAGCCAGGTTTGAACTTCCACTGTCTGGCTCCCTTTTATAGCTCATCTCTGCAAGCCAAGCGAACCTGAGAACAAGGATCAGCTCAGCCACCAGGGCCCGGGGTACCTGGGGGCCCAGTGGGAAAGGTGTCTCCAGGTATTTTCCAGCTGCAGCACACAATGACCACGAGCAGCTCCTGAGGCAAACAGGAAGAGAGGTACACAGAGGAAATACACATACAGATTCATGGATAGGCTTTCAGCTATTTTCAAGTCAGAGTCCTTAGATGGCTTCACTTAGCTTTAAGTCCTTTTCACGCTGGTCATTTCTAGCACGTTCCCTCAGTCAGGCCGCCATTCTTGCAAGGATCTGCGCATGTGTCAAAACCGCTTTGTCCCAAAGGCAGTGGGGCATCTTGCCGTGAGCAGAGGGGAGGTGGTAGCAGGTGCTGGCTTCGTGTAGCTCATGACCTCATGAAATCATCGCTTTTGCTCATTGGCCACCCCAAAACTGGACAGAACATGGCAGATGGTTTCTTTGGGGGCTACCGTATCCCAGTTATTTTAACTTAGAGAATTTAATGTGGGGAAGTATTCTATCGTGAAGAACCTGGAAAGCCTAATGTATGACCAGGCTCCACCTCCCCCTGGACAGGGAGAACGAAGAGATCAGTTGGGAAGTGTGAAGACTCACTCATGCAGCCGCCCTGCTAGGGAGCAGCCCTGAGAGCGGAATCCTGGGCCTCTGGAGGTGGAAGGGCTGCATGGCTGTCTCTGGAACCCCAGATCAGAGGCGGGGCGGGGGGAGGAGGGCGGGGGGGACCTGACCTCTGCGGGCGAGCTGCTGCTGTGTGTGTGCTGGGCCTTTCTGAGCAGGTGTTTAGCTGTGTGGGTGAAAGAGCAAGCTGGCTTCGTAGCTGTGATGAGAAAGTACTGAAAACTCGAATGGGAGGGGCAGCCTTCACACACACACACACACACACACACACACACACACATGTGCATGCACGCACATACGTGCACACGCAATACACGCATACACACATGTGTGCACGCACACACAAATGTGCATGTGCGCGCACACATGCGCGCACACCCACACACACATGCGCACACATACACACACATGTGCATGCACGCACATACGTGCACACGCACACACACGCATACACACACGCATACACACACGGGCACACACCCACACCCATGTGCGTGCATATACACACACACACACACGTGCACACACACACACACACACTGCCTTGGGTCTTACAGGCTCTCCCTCCAGTCACTGCCACACAGGCCCACAGAGATGAGACAGGCACAGTTCAAACCCCATATCAACAGGAAGGAAACGGAAGGTGAGTCGGAAGACAGGCGAAGGTTCTCTGGCATGCTCTGATTAGGAGAAAAGGCACACACGTCCACTAATGTGCAGAAACACGGGAGCCATGCACAGAGCAGAGTGGAGCTGACACACCTCTTTCCCAGGGCAGTCAGAGGGATCACGTGACAGTTCTGGGAGCTTCTAAATGATGATGGGGCAGACGAATTCGTTTGTAAAGCGATTTTCTCAGCCTGGGGCTGGTGTGTGTGTGTGTGTGTGTGTGTGTGTGTGTGTGTGTGTGTGTGTGTGTGATTCTGACGTCGTCTTGTTACAAAGCCTGACTCTGAGATAGATAAGGGGGTTTCAGAGATGGCAGACTCCCCTCCACCGCCCTCACACAGACAAGGTCCAGGTTACATACAGATGAAGACCACGGTTGCCAGGCGAGGCCCTCTCTACCCTTGAAGGGGAGAAATGACACCATGTGATAAGGCCTTTGAGCCCAAGTCAGCTTCTTCAGCCTCCAGCAGGTCAAACCACCACAGAGTCTCCTCTTCTCTGCTTCCCAGCAGCATAAGAGTGGTCCTGAGCGGGCCGGTTCCTTTACCATTTACACAGGGCACCAAAGCACAGTGGAAGGAGCTAAGGCCTGGAATGTAGGGGCTGTGATCAATATTCATGATGATTCAGTAGGCAGGGGTTTAGGGAGTGCTCACTCAGTGTGGTATATATATAAATCCCTTCCTCTCTCTTGGCTTCAGGTGGTCCACTGCTAAAGAGCTTCCGCCCTTAAAGTGAAATGATTTGAGCTGAGGATGTGGTTCACTGGAAAAGTGCTTGTCTAGCATGCATGATACCCTGGACCCATTTCCTTCTAACACACACACACACACACACACACACACACACACACACACACACACACACACGTGACTTTTATTCCTTATGACACTAGAGGAACCTTGTCTGATATTGAGATAACCGAAGACAGTAAAGATTAAATCCAACTCTTTATTGAATCCTTACTTACTTAGGGATATGTAAAGTGGGAATATGAAAGACCCTTTCCTTTGAGTGTTGAAGGTCTTGCGGTGTGTGAAAAGCACTATTTGAAGCAATAGCTGAACAGCACGCAGTGTGAACCAGTATTTGCTGTGGTTGTTTCCCTACTCAATCAATGTCAAGATTATCATTTTTAGAGGGGTCCTGACCTGACAGGGCTGGACAAAGAGAGGGCACAGACACGCAGTACTCGTGACTGAGAATAGAAGGTTGCGCAGGCACCTGGAAAGGGGAAACGCATCCTAAGGATGTGGGAGAAGACGCTGTTCACGCAAGAGGACGTTATTTTCCTCCTGGGTGCAGCTTTCTAAGGATGCTACTCAGCACCAGTGCTGGGGCAGATTTAAAATTTTTAAAAGGCAAAAAGTCTAGAACAGGGGATCAGTGGCTCTGTGGGCAGGGCGGGTCAGGTCGTCTCTCCAAAAGAGAAGTCCAGGGAGTCAGAAGCCAGTGCTGCTGTTAACATGCTGCTCTGGGCTGCTCACCTTGCATAGTGAACACAGGGACCCTCGCTTTAATCCCCCCCCTAAGCATTCTCACATGTTGTTATGACAGCATGAAACAAACCCTGAGCCAGGTTTTCTGAGTGCACAGCCTGGTGAGGAGACTCACCACCACGGTGACCAGGTCAGGCGTCATGTCTGTGGTACCATGCTAGAGTTGGTCCCACCGCCATCTGTGAAGGAGCTGGACACAAATGCGTAGAAGCTCGTGAATGGCACGACTCAGTGTGTCATCGTGAGTTGTATGTGTTGAGTGCTTCCTGCGTGTTGATATGCACGCACTCACGCATTCCTCCACGGGAGGTTCCCTTACCACCTCCATTCCCGATGCAAATCAGTCAAAGCTCCGAGGAGTTACCCGGCGTGGTTACTTCTAGTCAGTTCATATTTCATGGAACATTCTACATGGACCAGTCCATCTCGAAAAGTGTCTCAGCATGTGAACTCGCCTTAGCGTTTTTCCTCACATTTTTTTTAACCCCAATTACTCGTCCCAAGGAGTTTCATTTTGACATGTCTCTATACGAAGATGACGCAACTTGGTCAGACTCACATTCTCCATCCCTCTCCCTCACCCAGACCAGTCTCAACCAACTTCATTGTTCCACTTGCACATGCGTACATGGAATACTTTCACCCTATCCTTCACCCTCTCCCATTGGCATAGAGGACCTGTATTTTACAACTCATTCTTTTTTTCTTCCTCTTCTCCTTTTTTCTTTTTTAGTGCAACAGCAGCAGCATTGTTAATCGCTCTCTGATTTGCTATTCTTGTATATTAGTATTGTATTATTATATTGTATTCTTGTATATTAGTTAATGACTCATGAGTTGTGCATTCATGGTGGATACCACGTTTTGCTATTCTAAACACTCCAACCATCCTCATTATGCAGCTAAATTTTAGTGGATATCTATGATTATTTCCCAAGGAAAGAAAAAAATCCTAGCAATGGACCACTAAGTCAAGGAGCAAATCCTATCTAATTAAGAGATAGATGGTAAGATCCAATGGAAAGACTGTAGCCTTTCTGCAAGGCAAGCATTCTGCTTTGGCTGGCCAGCCGGTGGCCATGCATTTGGGGGTCCCTGCTGTGCCTGAGCCAGCCCCCATGAGCCAGGCCCCCAGCACTCCCCAATGACTTCTTTCCTGCCTTCACCCCATCTCTATCCTGTCATCTCTGTTTAGATTGTGGCCAAGAAATACCGCAACTACGACCTTCCGGCTGAGATGACAGGCCTGTGGCGGTACCTCAAGAATGCCTACGCCCGGGACGAGTTCACCAACACCTGTGCGGCGGACAGCGAGATCGAGCTGGCCTATGCAGACGTGGCCAAGCGCCTCAGCCGCTCCTGAGCTCCGCCATCTTGTCCACCCGCACTGCAGAAAATGCTCCGGGTCTCCCAAAGACCTTCGACTTTACAGATTCCTCTTCCTCATCACCTCTGGAAACTTGTGCTTTGATGTCGAATCAGGCCACGTCTCGCTGGTATCACCAGAACTCCAGCCTGCCACCTTTTTTTAAGGAAGGTCAGCACCACTTCAAGAATTTGGCCAACAAAGAGGATAATACAAGTCAGCCTCTCCCCTGCCAGCCTGACCTGGGGTCTGTGTATTTGGGGTCAGCTACAGAGCACAAGCGTGGGACTATCACTGACCTCTGGTTCTGCCAACACCAAACTATCTTCTCATCCTTTATGGACATGAAATACCGCCCTTCTCTTTCAGTAACTGTAAGGCCAACGACACATGTCTCTTTAGTTCTCATTAGAGAGAGATCCCTACCTTCTCAGGAGCAGCAGTGACTGGGACAGGACTCAGCTGAGGTTGGCTTTGGGTAACTTATCAAACCTGCAACCCCATCGCTCGGTCCCTCCCAACTTCCGACACTCCTGCCCTATGGCACCAAAAGCCAGATGACAAAGTCACTTCAGACGATCTTAGTTTGATGCAGTGCTGGAAATGGTGCAATGTGGTTTGTGCAACTGGCTCCGGTTTTCATGTAGTCCTTGGTCTTGTTTGCCAGGGAGGAAACTGGCAGGTAATCCCAACCTGGGGGAGTCAGATGGAGATGGCTGAGGAGCGATGTTGATGCCAAAAAGGCCCATGGGGTCTGCAGCCACAGGGCGTGCAAATCTGAGTAGGAGTAGTTGCTCACTGGAGACCAAGTGTTGGGGTGTGATTGTGCCTGTGAGTGAGCGGCTTCTGGTGGATGAGGAAGATGGAGGAGTGAACGCAGAGGGTGGGGGAGGAGGGCTGGGTAAAGACAAAGCAGCTGTGAGACTGTGCTTTTCACTCATGATTTAAATCTTGCACTGGCAATATAACTACCAGTCTTACAGCAAAAACCCCAACCATTGGCCAAAAAAAAATTGTCTTCCCAGTTTTTGAAGAGGTTGCTCCTTGATGCAGGTCGCGGGCTGGGGGCTCTCACAAAGCTGTTTGTGGCGCACAGATATGTTTAGAAGCTTAGAAGGTTGGCATGATCTTGGAGCACCTTAAGAAGAAAGTTCATAAACCTTTCTGACTGGGAAACCAGGTGGCTTGAACTTGAAGAACACTAGACTCATCTGGATTAACTTTCCTTCCAACAGACACAACTGCTATGGATGAATTTTTTTAAGGCAATCATTATTGTTTTTTAGTTAACATTTCTCTTCTTAGTCATCTCCTTGAGTTCTAACACCTCCCGAGGAGCTCACCAGTCCTGAGCGTGGGGACCTGTGCAGAGGAAACTCAGAGAAAATGAACTAATCATCCACCCCCCCCTGCCAGTGAGCGCTCTGGAAGAAATCCATCTGCTGGGCCCCCCTCACCTCCAACAATCCTGCCCTCCGTGCCTCGGGGTGGGGGGGGGGCTCCCTGGGTCCGGCTCATTGTCCCCAGGGGCCAGGATAGTATGGGTCCTTTCCGTAGATACATCCACACATACAAACCCCAGCAATCGCTGCTCCCCCCTGCCACCAGGGATCTCTAAAGGAGAAAACTAAGTGACCCCGGCTCAAAGCCAAGAGAGGAAGCAGGAGGAAGGCGAGGCTGCTCACCGGGACATTATCTAAACCTGAGAGAGAGAGCTAGAGAAGGCAATCAGTGGCTTCCATCCCAGCCCTCAGGGAACCTGGCAGGTCTCTGCAGCTGCCCCCCGAGCATGTTAGCACATAGAACTGGTAAGGAAAGAGCCTTCGGGGGCGGGGGGGAAGTGTCGGTAAATGACCTAAACCAGCTTCCACAAAGTGGCGTTAGCATGCGCCCGTGTTGTTCTCAGAAGCCCTCCCCTGGCTTTCACAGATCACTCAAGGTGACCGTCAGGCAGCTCACCATCTTCTGGTCCCCAAGCAAACTCTTGTCACAACCCATCGGGCAGCACCCCACACAGAGGTGGCCCTGGGAGAAGCTGTCCACAGAGGAAGTGGCAGAATACTAAGGGCTCTGATGGGTGCAAAGTCTTTAGTATCCATCAACTGGACAGTCCTTAAAAGCAAACAGGCCAAACCAAGTGAATGTGGTCTCTAGCTGTCCCTCCTATCCATTTATTTGGCATAAATAACTATAATAATAAATAACTATATAGTAAATAACTGTGAGGGTATGGTATGCCCAGTTATTAACCACTTTAATAGGAGCATGAGTGGTAGGAAGAAGGCTCTTTGGGGTACTTAATCTCAGCAGTGCATTGATAGATAATGCAAAGTGACCATTGACCTAGAGGTGTGATATCTTGTATTTATCCTAGTATAACAAATAACCATCATATTAATAATGTTGCCTTTTCTTTTTCAAAAGAGATTTTTCTCCAGACCCCCTAGCTTCTCTGGCCGTTGGCCTTCACCTTGTTGCTGGCCCAGCCTACCATCTTTTTCAGCTACCCTAGTGTTGGTACCCCACAATATGACTCAGGGAGACTGGGGCATTTGTAGTTTGGACCCTAGTCCTCCTAATTGATCCCGAATATTGGTCCCTTAGAACACATTCAGTGGGACAAACATCAGAGTTACTTAGCCTGAGAATCTTTTATTTTGTATTCCATTCTCTCCTTTGGCTTTTACATCACCTTTTCTTTTGGTGGTTAGTTAGTGGAAAGCGGAGGCAGAAAGCTAGTCATACTCAGAATTACTGAGTTAGACTTAACCACTTATCCAGGACTGCCCACTTCTTCATTTGGCCCAGAGAGAAGGTATTGGATGTGATTTTAATGAACATAATTTATTAACTATGTTACCAAAATCTATATTGATCCAGAGCATAGTTCGTAGCTGCTCAGGACATAGAGGGAAGAAGATCACAGTGTGAGACCAGCCTGGAGTAAAGTTAGCAAGACTTCATTTGAAACACAAGCCAGATGTGGGTGGTATATACCTTTAACTCTAGCCACTCAGGAGGGAGAGGTAAGAGAATTGTGGTCCAAAGCCTGGGTCAAAAGCACAAGGTGAGTATAGCTTAAGCTCACCTAGCGAGCTCAAGGTCTGAAGGCCTTAAATTCAATCCCTAAAACGGTCAGAAACAAACAAGCAAACAGCTCACCATCCCTGTGAAACTCTGGCCTGGATGTAGCATGTGTCTGGCAAGTGCTTCTGCAGTTCACCCCCTCTGGCCAGGGACAAAGTCAAGAGGACAGCAAATTCAGGTGCTGCCAACACTGTCCAGGGAAAGAGACAATATTAACTTGTGGTTACGCCGAGTTCAGTGATTCTCAAGGGACCTTGATTATTATTATTATTATTTAATGATATTAAGAAGAGTCTTACAAAAGCATTGGGAAAAGAAGGGGAGTACCGAGTTCTGATGCTCTGACATCGAAACTTGTGTGGCTCACCCTTGGCCTTGGAGCCCTTCTGCACAAAGGCTGAATGGATTGCTTTTTATCTTGCAATCAAACAGCATAACCTTCCCCTCCCAATGTCTGCCTTTCTTCCTTTGTCAGTATTCCCAGCTCCCTAGCCCAGTTTTCAGGATACTTGCATCTCATTTTTAGGGCTGATCCAAACCCTCTATACATTTTCAATGTTATTTGAGGAAATTTCAAAATAGTCCACACTACATAGGACAATTAAAGATTGTCTCAGCATAAAGTTTGGATTAATCTGTGTTTCTATAAAAGCAATCTGATTTTTTTAATGAAATAGTTTTAAGTCTCAACAAGCTGAGGTATTTTTGTACATAGTTCAAGATTTCACAATATTGATTACGGATATATTTAAAGTATACAATATCAAGATGATGTTTGGATTTGTTTTATTATCCTGGTTACTTGGGTGTCCCATTTTATAAGATAAGGATTTAACTAATTTAGCAAACAATGCCTTGCTTTTATAAAAGAACGAGCATTTTACTATCTGAAGTCACTCAGAATGATGATTTCTTGTTTTCTTGAGACCTGTAACTGTGCTAATAAAATAACAGGCCTTGCTTTCAAGCCTTAATAAATGTACAATGCCTTCTAATGATGCTATAGCGGAGTGTTTTCCTCATGACTCTGACCCAGTTATGAATTTGTTTCCCAGGCTTGATTGGTATTGACTGATTCAAATAAAGTTGGTTTATTTTCAAATATTACAAAAGTGATCATTATTAGATGTATTGGTTAAGGTGGGGATTTCCCATGATGTTTGTGAATGCCAAGTGTGAGATCTCTCTTTGTTCTAAATAAAGGTTATTTTATTTTCCCATCATAAAAGGTGCACATTCTGAAAAAGCAAAACTAAGGAGGGGCTGAGAAGATGGCTCATTGGGAGAATACTTACCTAGCCTACATTGCATTCCAAGTTCCATCTTCAGCCCTGGAAACAAAAAAGAAAAGAAAGAGGGAAGGAAAAGAAAAATGAAACGAGGAAGGAGAAAGGAAAAAAAAGGAAAAGCAAAAGATCTTGGGGGTAGCCATCTAAATATCATTTTTATTAAGCAAAGCCAAAAATGCTTTCACTGTACACAGGTTGGGTAACAGTTACATTGATGTCTCTTCTGGCTTTGTGTTTCCTATCTGCATTGTCATACCTAGAGGCAGACTACCACATGCAATTTAGAATATAGGTCTGCCTATGCCTGAAGCTTCACCCATGTTGTCAGGGGCTCCATTCCTCAGCCTGGGTATCACAGCACTGACTCTTGCCTGAGGTTCCCAGAGGGCTCAGTTTTCACTGACATCAGCACAATAGCTTCCCAGGTTCTTCCCCGAGCATTCGCACTAGGAAATGGGTCAAGGTGGTGACCAGCTCATAGGCCCTCCATCCTGCCAGAAGAGTGTCTCTGAAAAGGATCACAGAGCTGACTCTGGGACGGACTTGATGAGAGGGTCAGGCTGGCCTTCCATGCAGGAACTCCCAGGGGATGTGATGGACGGCCATCTTGCCATCCTTCCCCAGCATGCCCCGAAAGGAATACTCCCCCTGCTCCTGTTCCCTCTCTTACCCTCATGTGAATCAGGTGAGAGCGATCCCATCCCGAATGGTGCAGGCTCTGAACCTGTCCTGCAGGCTTGGGATTAGGGTGGGCCCCTCCAGATCAAGTTCTACCCAGCCCTGAAAGGAGAGTCTTGCTGAGGGACTCTGGGAAGATGTCCTTGCTCTTAAGAAAGAGACTCCTTAAATGGCTCTGTGGTGTTGCCTCTAGATGTAGCTATGAGGCCTGGGTTTGCCGCTGCCTTGATGGAGTAGCCACAGGGCAATGGCAGTACCAAAGAAAGGCCCAGGTTCTTGAAAGACCATGGAGTCACCAATCAGTAAAATCAACTCGGGAACTGGTTCTAACTTTGGACTTCGTCTTCTATGGTTCGCCCCAGATGGTTTGAGGGTATTTCCTGGTGCTTGTTTGTCTTCACCACTGGCAAAGGGCATCCTATGTGTGACAGAAGCCAACTTTGGTTGTGTCACTAGCCAGTGGGATCAGCCCCTGCCCCACTGTTGGAAGGCAGGGCTCTGTTCCACACAGTTGCTCGGGAACGTGCCAGGACACGGGAGATTTCATGGCTCTGGAGCTTGTTTTCCTTTACCTCACTGTGAAGAAGCTAAGGAGCCTGGAAGGGTAATGATTGTACCCAGCATGGACCAGGGCAGAGTCCCGTTCCACAGGACTGGGGAAGGACAGCATCTCATTCTACTCAAAGGTGCTGTAAGCCGCATCTCTTATTTTTGTCTAGCAGCCAAGCTTTCCAGGGTCCTTTTGCAAGTTTGACCTTGGGGAAAAGCCAGAGCCACAGGACTGCAAACAAGGACAAAGACCTAATCTAGATGTCAGTGAATGACTCTGTGATCTCAATATCCAAGCTCAAGGCAACTTTCAATCTGTTGCACCACCTCTCTGTGGCCCTGGTTAGTAAAAAGAAAGGGAAAGAAAAGCCAGTCACTGGGAAAACAGAATGAAACATGGACATCAGTAGTTTATCTCTGTGGGAACTGTTTTCTTTTGAAGTAAATTTCAGGCTACAATGTGGAGGCAAATCACATAATATTTGTCTCATACCTACATGCAATGAGATCCACCGAAATGTGCGATGATCCTGAAGCCTTGGAGCTCACCAGATGTATAGAAAGTAGAATAGATTCAAAATTTGAAAAAAAAAATTAAAGAGCATAAATAGGAAAACATTTCAGTTTAATCTTCCTTGAACTAAAATATCTCCATGCCTCAAACGTTCTCATCTCCAACTAATGTAGGCTTTGGAGTCTACAGCACTCAAGATGCAGAATCCAGCCGGGCCCCGGTGGCTCATGCCTGTAATCCTAGCTACTCAGGAGGCAGAGATCTGAGGATCGAGGTTCAAAGCCAGTCTGGGCAGGAAAGTCCATGAAACTCTTATCTTCAATAAACCACCAGAAAACCAGAAGTGGCGCTGTAGCTCAAGTGGTAGAGCGCTCGCCTTGAGCTGAAGAGCTGAGGGACAGCGCTCAGGCCCAGAGTTCAAGGCCCACAACCGACCAAAAACAAAACAAAAAATGCAGAATCCAGGTAACACAATAGAGACCAGTTCCATGTCAGCTGCAGAGCAGTGTCTGATGTCAAGCCATTGTGTTTCTATCCACAGTTATTTCCCTGTGTTGTTCGCTTCTCTACACCCTTTCTTCAATAAAAATCTAAAAGTATGGAATGCAAGTTATCCAAAATTTTTTCCCCACAAGGCCTCACCTTGTCCCATACTCAGCAATATTAGATGCTCAAAAATATTTATTAGTGGGTGACTGGCAGGGTCAGTGTTCCAGCCTTCTGGGTTCATTTGGATCTTACTCTTCATTTCCTGTGGGCTGGGCCTCCCACTGCTCCATAATCCTGAGGTGGGGAGGGGACAGAGAGCAGGTGTCTGTGTTCGCTGAATATGGTTCCAATCTGTTTCCACAGAATGAATCCTTCTACAGTCTGCATTTATCTACCTGGCTGGATAAATGAAAATCGGCCTAATGTTCACTGGATTGCGTGGTTTGGATTAGGTAATATTTCAGTCTGCTTTCTAAGTCGTCTACAAGACCGTGCCCTGTGAGGTGTTACATTTAGGAATGCATTAAGACCTTTAAGGTGAGGGTAATTCTGGTTATCATAATCCTGGCATTACCTGGCTAAACAAGGGTTAAACAATGCATTTTTCCCGAATATATATTCATTCAGGAAAATTTAGAAAATACAAATAAGCAGAAGAGAATAATTTAGACTATACCATAATCTTTCCATACAGAGATAGAACCTTTAACTCATAAACAATTATCTCCCAAGACTTTTACTTTCCTTTTTCTTTTTGTCAGTTGTAGCGCTTGAACATAGGGCCTGGATACTCGCCTAGAGCTCTTTTGCTCAAGGCCAGGGCTCTGCCACTTTGAGCCACAGTGCCACTCCCAGTTTCCAGGTGGTTAATTGTAGATAATAGCTTCACAGATTTTCATGCCTGAGTTGGGTTTGAAGCACAATTCTCAGATCTTCAGCCTTCTAAGTAGCTAGGATTACAGGCGTGATCCACCAACGCCCAGCCAGACTTTTACTTGTTGTATGAAATATAAATGTGAATAATTTCTTCACAAAGAAAAGAGCAAATATTAAAAAAAAACTCAACTTGATGTGCTAGCACCTGCTGAATAATCCTGTGCCTATTACTACTAGGAACAGACTGAGAATAACTTTCCAGTCACTGAAGGAAATAGCTGCCCACTTATCAAGACCAACCACTTATTAACAGCAGTTACTTCTCCTTACTATGCCCACTAATCCATGCCATAAACTCTGACCAGTCCCAACAAGTTCCCTGCCTTTCAATACTCTCTCTGAAGATCTTCCCTTGTCCTTTTTTTTTATCTATAATATCATCATTATTATTTTGGGAGGGTAGATGGTACTGGGGTTTGATCTCAGAGCTATGCACTTGTTAGGCAGGTACTCTACCCCTTGAGCCTTGATCCAAACTCTTTAGTGACTTTTTAAGATAGAATATTATGATTTGGACAGCCATCATCCTATCTATGCCTACCATATATCTGGGATTATAGATCCTATCACTACTCTCAGCTTGTTGGTGGAGAAGACCTTGGTAACTTTGCTTATGCTGGCCACCAAACACAATTTTCCCAATCTTCAACTTCTGAATATCAAGGATTACAGGCATATGCCCCAGGCATCTGTCTAGAGTGGGCATCCTTGATGAACCTCAATGTGTAATGCAGTATCAAGAGTGCCAGGAACATATTTGGGAAAGGGGGTGGTGTGTGTGTGGATAGGCCTTACTTAAAGCTTTGGAAATATGACAGTCACAAGAATTAGATTTCTAAAAGGCTGTTTCTCTACTAAAACGTTCCATGAGACGTTCTCAGCCCTGCGCTTATGGAAGAGGAGTGAGAGGAACGATGGAGAGTCAGTGGGCCCTGCTCTGGGAATTGTGGAGTGTGAAGCAAGAGAACCTGAGATCCTTGCCTATGTTTCTGGGACAATGGTCTCCAACGTGCAAGGACCTCAACTGCAATATAAGAGCCAAGAGTAAGGATAATCTTCCATCTCCAAGCTGAGATGGAGATCCGATAGAAAAAGACTTTATGCAACTGGAAACAAGCACTTTTGGAAAATGGCACCCTCCAATCTTCCATCTCCTTCCGCTACCCACATTGTCCTTTGTCGCCCAACTCCTTGAATGTGATCTTTCATCACATTGTCAATGATTATTCATTTCTCCAAAATCAATCCAGGATGGTGGTCATTTGATGGCTCTCAGTTCATCAAGGAGCCATTTGACTGGAAAGTAAAGCCTAGGAGAAAGGTGATGGCTAAAAAGATCAGGAGACTAATTGAACCACCACAAAATAATGACCTCTGTGGGACCAGGTTCAACATCCAAAAGAGACTTGGAGTCCAGGAATGGTCATGTGGTTATTGAATTCTAGAAAAGGAATTCTAAGAGAGAGCAGAAGGAGGATAATGAAAGCAGCAGCTAAAATGTAAACTGCCCACTGGAGACTATTTTCAAATGCCTTTTTTTTGCATACC